TAGTCAAGAATCGGGCACCGCGTCTACAGTGGAAACCAAAGATAAATACGAACTTTGACAAGACTGAAGATCTGCTAAACCACTAATAAAGGGCGGTTCAGTACGAGGGTGTTTGTCGCCGGCGCAACTGCCTTTGGCATGCTCGATGACGAGGGCCTTGTGAAATTCGCGACTGTTAGTGTCCATGCCTGGAACAGCGTCGTAGGGAATGCTGACCGTTTTGGCACGCTTGGATTTGGCTGGGGTCTGTTATGTCCATAAAAATATGAAGTTAACAACGTGGCAGTGGACTCACGCAATAATAGCAGCTTACCTTGGGACCAGAGGCAGCGCGCTTCTTGCCTTTCTCTTTGGGAGAGGAAGCGGCGTCCTTGACTTCTTCGTCACCAAAGAGGTTGTCCACTGCCATCTGAGCAAAGCGGTACACAATATTAAAATTGTGTCCTGCTCGAAAGAAAATAAAAATAAAAAATAACGCACGGTGTCAGCTGCAGTGATAGCGTTGGGGCCATCACACCCACCCATCATAACGTCGGTATCCGAGGGGCTGGGGACAATCTCGACCTCGTCGACCTTGTCCTCGACGACAGCCTTGGACTTGACAAGCTTGCGGGGACGCTGTTTCAAAATGTATCCGCGCTGCGTTAATAACATGAGAAAAGATGAACAAAATAAGTATAAACGTGCCTTGGCTTTAGTGGCAGCCATTACCTCTGCAATCTCAGCCTGAGCCTGAGCTTGAGCAGTAACGGGTGGTGGAACGACCTGCGCAGCGGCGAGAACAGCGCGACAATATTCTTTGATAGTGTCAAGGTCGGCTGGGGGCGCGATGGCGTGAACTCCAGTGCTGCGGGTATTGTACTCGCCTCTAACAAGGAAAAGCACGTTGTGCATTGGCTGGTGCATAAGCAGACACGGATCCTTGGTGTCGATAAGCTGAACCTAGTCAAGTGCGCAGTATTAGCCTTTGTTCGAAGAAATAGAAAAATACGAAGTTTATAACAGAAAAATTCGCGACTTACACAGTAATTAGCGGCTACGCCCAGAATGGTGGGAGCGGCAGCGCTGTTCAGTCCCTCTTTCATGTCCTGATAAGTTTTGAAGGCAGTGAGAGCGGACTCGCGAAGCTTGACAGCGGCGGGAAGAGCGTTTTGTGGGATAGACATAATGAGCGAGTGGTAAAATGAGAGTGCGTGGTAGAAAAGCAAAAAACTGTTCTGTCCGAAAATTTTTCGCCACTGCCTGCTTTTATATGTGTGTCTGAGACCAAGGCGTGCGCGTTCCGAAATTCCGCGTTGCAATTCACTTGAAGCATGAAAATTTGGAGTTGCGCGTTCCAGCGCGATCACGTCTAAAAATAGAATAAACTTTCCGAGCCTTGGATTTCCCACGCCACGTGACCTATGAACTTAGTCGTTTTGACTGAGGACCACTAGTAGCTGCCATTTACATCATGTAAAACCTGGCATGTACCATAGAAGTTCCTGCTTAACTACCGTGAATGAAATGAAATGAATTTTCATTCATTCACGGCACCTGTTTCATTCCAAGTCATTCTCATTCATTGCCGTCGAGAATGAAATACTTTTTGTTTCATTTCATTTCATCTCAATTTTTTCTTCATTTCTACTGACAAGAATGCAATTTATTCTGTTTCATTCATGCCTGGCGACTCTTTCATTTTTTTAATTTCATTCCACCATGGCAACTGTTTCATTTTTTGCTTTATTCTTTCGTTTCATTCATTCCTGGCAACTGTTTCATTTTTTACATTCATTCATTGCCATGGAATTTTCATTTCATTCTTTCCAGGCAGTTATTTCATTTTTGTTTCATTCTTTCAGGCAACAATTTCGATGTTTAACACACATCTAAATAAGGAAATAAT